TCTGATTGTAAACTCGCTCCACCAAGTAACCCGTAAGAAGAATGAGTTTGAATGGGGCCCTGAACAACGACAAGCCTTTGAACAAATCAAGCAGGAAATAGTCCACGCAGTAGCCCTTGGGCCAGTTCGAACAGGACCAGATGTAAAGAATGTGCTCTACACTGCAGCCGGGGAGAACGGCCCCACCTGGAGCCTCTGGCAGAAAGAACCTGGGGAAACTCGAGGTCGACCCCTGGGGTTTTGGAGTCGGGGATACAGAGGATCTGAGGCCCGCTACACTCCAACTGAAAAGGAGATATTGGCAGCATATGAAGGAGTTTGATCTGCTTCGGAAGTGGTCGGTACTGAAGCGCAGCTCCTCCTAGCACCCCGATTGCCGGTACTAGGCTGGATGTTCAAGGGAAGGGTCCCCTCTACGCATCATGCAACTGATGCTACATGGAGCAAGTGGGTTGCACTGATTACTCAGCGGGCTCGAATAGGAAACCCCAGTCGCCCAGGAATATTGGAAGTGATCATGGACTGGCCAGAAGGCAAATACTTTGGGATATCATCAGAGGAGGAGGTGGGTCGGGCTGAAGAAGCCCCACTGTACAACCAGTTACCAGAGAATGAGAAGAAATATGCCCTGTTCACTGATGGGTCCTGTCGTATTGTGGGGAAGCATCGGAGATGGAAGGCTGCTGTATGGAGCCCTACGCGACGAGTTGCAGAAGCTGCTGAGGGAGAAGGTGAATCGAGTCAGTTTGCAGAAGTGAAGGCCATTCAGATGGCTTTAGACATTGCTGAACGAGAAAAATGGCCAGTTCTCTATCTCTACACCGATTCATGGATGGTAGCAAATGCCCTGTGGGGATGGTTACAGCAATGGAAGCAAAACAACTGGCAGCGCAGGGGCAAACCCATCTGGGCTGCTGCATTGTGGCAAGATATTGCTGCTCGGGTAGAGAACCTGGCTGTGAAAGTACGCCACGTAGATGCTCATGTGCCCAAGAATCGGGCTACTGAAGAACATCAAAACAACCAGCAGGTGGATCAGGCTGCTAAGATTGAAGTAGCTCAGGTGGACCTGGATTGGCAACATAAAGGTGAATTATTTATAGCCCGATGGGCCCAAGACACCTCAGGCCATCAAGGTAGAGATGCAACATACAGATGGGCTCGTAATTGAGGGGTGGACCTGACCACGGACGCTATAGCACAGGTTATTCATGACTGTGAAACATGTGCTGCAATCAAGCAAGCCAAACGGTCAAAGCCTCTTTGGTATGGAGGACGATGGCTGAAATATAAATATGGAGAGGCCTGGCAGATTGATTACATCACACTCCCTCAAACTCGCAATGGCAAGCGCCATGTACTTACAATGGTGGAAGCAACCACTGGATGACTGGAAACATATCCTGTGCCCCATGCCACCGCCCAGAACACAATCCTGGGCCTTGAAAAGCAAGTCCTATGGCGACATGGCACCCCAGAAAGAATAGTGTCAGACAATGGAACTCATTTCCGAAACAACCTTATAGACACTTGGGCTAAAGAACATGGTATTGAGTGGGTGTATCACATCCCCTATCATGCACCAGCCTCCAGGAAAGTTGAACGATACAATGGCCTGTTAAAGACTACCTTGAAAGCAATGGGTGCTGGGACATTCTAAAATTGGGATACACATTTGGCAAAGGCCACCTGGTTAGTCAATACTAGGGGATCTACCAACCGAGCTGGACCTGCCCAATCAAACCTGTTACGTACTGTAGATGGGGATAAAGTTCCTGTAGTGCATGTAAGAAATATGCTGGGTAAAACAGTCTGGGCTACTCCTGCCTCAGGAAAAGGCAAACCCATTCGTAGAATTGTTTTCGCTCAGGGACCTGGATACACTTGGTGGGTGATGCAAAAGAACGGAGAGGTCTGGTGTGTACCTCAAGGAGATTTAATACTGGGTGAGAATAACCCATGAACTGAATTGTACCATGTTAATTACTATATAATACTGTATGTTATCACTACCATGACTACTATAGGTGACTAATTAGAATGTATGGAAAAGAGTGTAACCTGAGCATGACATAAATGGTATGGAAGAAGGGGTGGATAGATGTCCTGGTTTCAGTTAGGACAGAGTTAATTTTCTTCCTAGTAGCTGGTGGAATGCTATGTTTTGGCTTAGGATGAGAAGAGTGCTGATAACACCCCAATGCTTTAATTGTTGCAGAGCAGTGCTTATACCAAGCCAAGGACATCTCAGCCTTTTGCTCTGTCCTGCCAACAGGCAGGCTGGGGGTGCAGTAAGAGCTGGGAGGGGACAGACCCAGGACAGGTGACCCAAACTAGCCAAAGGGGTATTCCATACCATCTGACGTCATGCTAAACAATATATAGGGGTGGCTAGCTGGGGGGAGGGGGCCGGACTGCTCGGGGTTAGGCTGGGTATTGGTCAGCGGGTGGTGAGCAATTGCATTGTGCATCACTTGTTTGTACATATTATTAGTAGCAGTACTATTGTCACCCTTGTGTTATTATTTTTATTGTTATTATTATTTTCCTGTCTTATTAAACTGTCTTTATCTCAACTCACGGGCTTCACTTTCCATTTCTCTCCCCCGTCCCAGAGAGTGAGGGGGAGGGTGAGCGAATGGCTGCGGGGTGTTTAGCTGCCGGCTGGGTTAAACCACGACAATTGTTAATAATTCCATGTTTAATACCTTGTATTACCAAACTAATACACTCGATTATACAATGAATGCATATATCTGCGGTACCTGTTCACCCAGAACCAGGGAAAGAGAAAACCCATTCCCTGTTGGTAATAAAAACAAAGATCCAAAATTGGTATTGACTCGAGTGGAAAGGAAAACACGAATCAATACCAAGAAAAAGGAGATGGGGGATTGTGATATATGTTCATCTGATTCGTGTCAATATAGAACAATGCTAGGGCCGCAAAGTATGAGGGATGTGACCTTCTGTCTTACATACCCTTGTATAAGCACAAGTCTAAGAAAAACAGAGTGGTTAATGTATATAATTCTTGTATCTTGCAAAGGAATGTTTTAGCAGTTCGTGTCAATAAAGAGCTTGAAGGGAAATGTATTTGTAGGCTTTTCCTTGAAGTCTGATATCTGGGGGGTTTCAGAATAACTGCTAACTATTATGACTATTGCAGGGGACACTATGCAAGTTTCTGATATCTGGCCAGGAGATTAAGGAGACAGGGAGAGCTGAAGAACAACTAAAAGACAAAGCTTGCAGGGGACTCTGCACAAGTCTCTGACATACAGCCAAGTTGGACAAAGGAGAAGGACAAGAGGGAGGAAGACTATGAGCCTTCAGCATGAGAGACCTCCAGAGGGACCACCAGAGACTGATACACATGCTTCAGTGGGAGGGCTTGGATTCCAGAAACTAATTATAATAACCCTGTTTTTTTTTTTTAGAAGTAGTAGTGAATATGTATTAGCCTAGGAGCATAAAAATCAGCTGCTTGATGTAACTGGTGTGAGTCTTGGTAGAGCAGAGACTCCTGGCGCATCCAGCGCTGTTTGCTTCCCTGTATTCTTTTAATTGTAAAAACTTTGATTGTAACCTTATTTGGGACTTAGCCACGTATTACAGAAGTTAGATTTTAACCACAGAAGTTAAATTTTCATATAAATTTAACTCTTATCCAAACAGAGTTTTGTAGCAACTACATTAGAAGAGATGCACTCAATTTCACTAGAATTCTCTACCTCAATATATAGCATTTGATCCTTCCATATTCTTTTCTTAAATAGCAAGATTCTTAAAGGGGAGCGTAATTAACACTAAAATATTAATTTTTAAAATATACTTGGTGGGTTTTCCACCAGTGCTCTTATATAAGCTATACATTTTCAAGATCCTGAAATCTTTTTTCCTATATTTATTTAATTCAATACTCCTGAGGTATACAGGCAGAAAATCTTACATTTTCAAAGCTGGCAGAACTCTTTACAAATCTTCAACCCATGAAATAATGTTAGAAATTAAATTAAAATAGGAATCTGCATTTGCTCAAAGAAACCACAATTTTTTGCTCATAAACCTCCCAAAACAGCATGGACACTTCATCCAAGTCAAACAGAAACCATTACAGCCTTTTCCGTGTTATATGCATCACAAACTCCTGAACTCTGATGGCTATGGGAACTTTACTTTTGTCCAGTGATTATAATATGTAGAATTTTTCCACAATTCATCCAGCATTACATTCTCTCAAGGTAACAGATGAAATTCTATATCCAAATTTGACACATGACACTACTGAACTATGGAATTGTTGAGGTATTTGGAAAAGATTTTTTCCACCTAAGCTTCTGAACTTAAGTTAGATGCAACACGTTAGAATATGCCTGAGTTAGCCCGCTTACAGAATTCATAATCAATCTCACAGCTTCCTTTTACTATACTGAACATTTTCATATTTCCATCCAGTTTATCCTCTTCTTCAGAGGCAAAAACAGCTAGATTAACCTTGAATGCTTTCTTGTTTGCTATCAGTATGGTTAAGGAACGTTGCTTTTTACTTGTACCTGTCCATCTAACTAGCTCTATTGGGTTTATATGACAAGGTTTTGGAAAGGTCTGCAGTATGTAACACCGCACAGTATGTAAGCAAGCAAGGAACAATGTAACAATGATTAACTTTAATCAGGACAAAGATTAATATGCAATGACCCTCTGTCAAAACTTCTGGATGGCTCCACCACAGAGAAACAGCACAAGAATCATCTATTAACTGTGTAGTATAGTCCTTGAATATAGTAAAGTGTAAGGCAAGCACCATCAGACCAACTATGTTCTGTCAGGTAACATACAGAGCTTTGTAATAGATTTTACTTTATACTAAGATCTACAAACAGCAAAAATACAAACTGAATTAGTGAGATGATATTGATACATAAACATTAGAATGTATTTCACGGTGCCTCACCGTACCGACAAGTCCAAAAAAGCACGAAAAAAAATAAACAAACCTGCTGGAGCTGCAAGATCTTCTTGAAGAACTATAGCTTCTTGGGGGTGTTCTGGATCGCTTCTCTTTCTTTCTTTCATCATCTGTTCCTTTTTGTTGCTCCTTCAACTTATCCCCATCTTTTTCCTTTTCTTTGTCTCTATCTTTCTCTTTGTCCCCTCCTTTATCCTTATCTCCCTCTTTGTCCTTCACCTTCTCTCTGTCTTTTACCCCCCCTTCCTTAATATCTTCTTTTTCCTTGTTCTGGTGTACTTCTTCCCTGTCTTTTTCCTTCTCCTTATCTTTCTCCTTTTCCTTGTCTCTGTCCCTATCTTGGTCCTTATCCTTGTCTCCAACACTCTCTCGATCTTTGTTTCGCTCTCCATCTCTCTCTTTCTCCTTTTCTTTGGTCTTTTTTTCCTTGACCTTTTCTTTGTCTCTCTTATTTTCCCTGTGAAAAGCCAAACACAAATCCATTAATTCATCTTTGAACTTTCTAATAAAAAAAATATAAGCAACTCTTCAGCATATATTAATTGCTCAAGAGAAAATATGTCTGTTTAAAATTTTATAATTACTAATTTTCATTTGCTACCTGTTTACCATGAGAGAGTGGCTATAACAGCTAGGAAAAGTTTTGAAACCAAACTTTTTTTTTTTTTTTTGGGGGGGGGGGGGGGGGGGGGGAAGGAGGCAAAAATCAAATCAAACTGATCTTCAGATTGATGTTACTATACTTTAAGAGAAAAAGTTTCTTCACCTCACAGTTACATTACTACACGTACGTAGATTTTTCAGCATTTTCTCATGAGTGCAACAAAGCATACAACTTGTAAATCCATTCTTTACTAAAATTGTGAAATATGTCAAATATGTGAAAATGTAAAATAGACTGCAGATTAACCACCCCCACATGAATAATGATAGCTGACCGGACAGAAGTCTTTATTCTAGTGTTCTCTCACACACACACATCCTGGAACTGCTTGATAGTCCAACATCAGTGAATATACAGAAATAAAAATACAAGGATAAAATTTCACCAAACAAATACTCTCAAAAGGCAAATGTAAGGTCTAAGCTCAGTCAAGACAATTCAATCATCTGTAATGTAATTAGGAATTCAAAAACAATTGAAGCATAAGAAAATCCAGTAGGATGGTAAAAAAAAAGGAAGGATAACAAGTCACCTTCTCTAGGACAAGTAGAATGATACCTATTCATAAAAAGAAAAACAGCAAGAAGAAAAAAAAGCGATGTTCTAGTTGTTGAGACGAATAGAAAACGATTAGATTATAGCTTTGGCTGGAAGAGTACATTTTTATATAGGATCATTTGAAAGCATTAGACTCCAAACCGTCTTTCCTTTCTGAGCAGACATGAGTTGCCTCAAGGACGTATGAAAATGAACAACTGTTCAGAGAGAAACAGGAGAAAGTACAATAGGAGGACTTAATTAACAGGCAGTTTCAAATCTAGAACTAGCCTGAAAAAGAGTTATGTCTACTGGTATTGGTACCTATTCTAGGATTCTCAAGGAGACTCCTTCAGACATGAAAGGCCCTAAGCACAACCCACACTTTCATTCATTGGAACAAGTGTTTGACTGTATCTTTTTTTTCAACTTGAATAGTAGGCCGTTTTACGTTCTATTACATTATGACTTTGGTTCCTATCAGGTTTTAGCAAATATCTCTTTAGGTATCTCACAGAAGGTATGCAAGATCATAAAAATGAAACAGCACACAATCCCTGCAATAGCAACAGGTCTCACAGCACCCCAAGAAAACCCTTCCAGTTATTTATCGCAGAGATTTCATTGGACTTCCCTTTCCAATGATTAGATCTCTCAGGAAGCTCCATCAGACAAGCAAATAAGAGTCAAAAGGATTCCATCACCCATCAAAGCCCAGCTATGTAGCCTACTAAGTGTTCCCACTGATGTCAGCAGATCTGCAGTTTTCTTTCCCAGAAGAAAAAAAAACAAAAACAAACAAACAAAAACCTGCACAACCTAAGTATGAAGGTCTCTTTAAATGAGTTAGGGGCATTACAGAGATGAACCAGAAAAAAAAAGTACCAAGTCTTCTAATCATGAAGCTACTTTTATAGGCACTTCAGTTTTGTGAATATTCATTATTTCATCCTCAGAAAATTATATTATCACCTGTTGGTTAAAGTCTGGCAGTTAAAGTTACCTTTTTTTGGTGAGCTTAAACATTGGTATAAATGTAGAATAGACTTTGGTATCAAAGTTTAGAAAGTAACTTTTTATACTGAGGTACCTATTCTTTTCTCCTATTGTAGGGGACGGGACGAGCCTAGGAACAGAATAAACCATTTAGAGATTCCATCCTTTACCCATTGCCTAAAACGCTGGTTAGATTCCCCCCCCCCCCCCCCAAAGAAAACAACAAAACTCTGTACCGTGTGCTAAGATGAACAATATCACTTCTCAGGAATGGAAACTCACCGAGAATGAGAGCGACTACTTGATTTCTGCCTTTCCCTAGATCTAGACCGTTTTTTCAGAGGACTTCTGGATTTGCATCGGTCCTTGTGTCTTGAGATTGATCTGTTACCAGATCTACTCCTATATGAACAACACCAGAAGAAAAATACTTTAATACTGAAACTTCAGAAAAATTAGGTCAGCCAAGATATAGGGGGGGAACAGCATGCAAATCTCACCTCACTACAGAAAAGTACATAATTAGATCTCAGTAATATACTGCCTACCAACATTTTTGCAAATATGCATACTTTAAGTTTCACCAGTTGCACATGTTCTCTTTTGAAACAATACACAATACACCATTTAAGTAATGCTCGTATTTTATTATGACCTCCATAAATATTCTGGAAAATATCAATCATCATACTAGGATAGCTTTCCTTAATAAATTACAGTGCATAAAATTTACTATAAACAATTTCAAGCAGCACGTAAAAATAGTTAGTTGCATTTTTCTTCTTCTCCAGGCCCAGTCACTTATTGTAGTCTTGGTCACTGAAGAAAGATAGCATTAACTGGCCTCTTTTTGCTTGGTTCTCCAGCCTTACAATTTGAGTGAACAAAAAACAAAACAAAAAAAACACTACCTGTGGTTCAGCATTTAGTCAAGTTACTTTCTCAGTTGAAAGTATTTGTAAGCATTTGCTACATGATAAATAAGGAATGCAAATAATGTGCAAATACTACGATAGAAATACATTTAAAGTCTTCTGATACACATATATAGTATAGTCTCAGATTTGATGAAGAAAACAACTTAAAAATTACTATACTCTTTCCCCCCAAAAAAATATTCCCCATTTTTATAAGATTGTAGTCCCTAGGAAAATGAATCTTCAAGTTCAGCTTTTTATTTAAAGTTTCACAAAACACATCATTGGATACTTTGCCTGAGAGGTTAAGGTACCTTGAAGTTAAACTTAACAAAGACAGAAATGTCATGTATATTACTCAATTAATCCTGAAGAACAGAAAGGTACAAAAAAATACCAGCTCCACCTTTCTTCTGCAGCTCAAGACACAGTAAAAACATACTAAGAGGGTAGGAGAGTTAACCACTTTATACCTACAGCTTTGCTCCACATATCAGTTTAGAAAAACTAATTAGAGGGCAAATTACTTACAATTTAGTCAAGTAAACCCTTTAATAAAATTTATATCATAGTGATGAAATGGATTTAGGGGTTTTATAAAACACTAAAAGGAAAGTGGTCAGCATAGTTTATTCTTACAGATGAAACTGCTTCAACAGCCCAGAGGCTCTTTTTCAGCATGTACTCAAAACTGACAGTAACAGTGGTAAATCATTAAAACAAAACGTAACTATCAACAGATGTTTTAAAACACAGGTTTTCTGCAAGTGAAAAAAATGCAAATTTATCTTCTAAAACTCAATTTGGTTTGTGTGGATACAAAATACCACAGATTACTGGAATGTTACACAAAGATTATTGTTCAGTTGTATCCTGAGTTACAGAAACAGAGAAGCATACAATAAGGAAGCCTGCAAATGATTCTTCTTGCATTAAAAAGGTACCCAATGGTTTAATGTTATTAGATAGCAAGATACTGCAGTACATGTTATTAAAAAAAAAAAAAAAGAGCAAAAGAGCCTGCACTTAGATCACATTTCTTTGGTTGTATAACTTATGTGGTATACCCCTCTGACCAGCTTTTCTGTATGTAAAAGAATTCTAGTTGCCCTGTTAAAAGACAATGCATGAAAGGATGCAATAGAGCTGTTGGTGCAACACTGACACCTTTTTAAAGTTTAAGCTATCAAATGCATTGAGTTTCTCCCCGCTCCCCAGAATGAGAGAAAAAAAAAAAAAAAAAAACAACTTACAGAAAAACAGAGAAAAGTTAACAGGAAAAAAATTAAAAAAAATTTAAAGAAAAATGATTTACACTGAGACTGAATGCTCAGAAGACATTCTTGACATTGGAAGAATATGAACCATTTCAGAAAGTGTCACACACGCTAGACTGTCTCATTCTTTGAAAAAACATTAATGGATAACCATTAAGGGTTATCTAGTAATTTAATTTCTTCCCATATTCCAAAGACTGTTTCAGAAGTTAACGATTTTAGCAAAGCAAACACTCTGAAGAATGAAAAACTGCCCCTAAAACCTTTTTTTCTTCTGACTTTTAAAAATTTAACTTTACATTTTAAGTGAACAGAAACACTGCATTTGTTAGCTAGATGTTTAGAAGTTCAGGACAGCAGGAACTTTCTACTAGCAAAACCAGATAGCCTATGAGAGTTGAGGGTATTAACAGTAAACTAGATGTTCCATACACAAAATACAGATAACTATTTTAAAAATACATAAGTCAGAAATATGGTTTTCATGACACAAAAGTACCTTCTAGTGTGTTTTCAAGATTGCTTTCAGTTAAAACATTTAGCATTTAGAGGGAAAGAGTATCTGTTCTGAGATAAAGATCACAGTTACTCTGATCTGGTTAGTAAAAGTTACTTATCTTCCCTACAGTGATACTTGTTTCATAACTCAATAAGAAATCTTAGTAACCACCATCGCTCAAGAAAAACAGTATGATCTTAGTCCAAAATAAAAGACATACCTACCTGTGTTTTGAATGTGATCTTTTCCTTCTAGACTGGGATTTTGAGCTAGACCTGGATTCTGAACGAGAATGGGAACGAGATCGACTGCCTTTTCTTTCACTGCTCTTTCCAGACTCTGAGAGGAAAAAAACACTTTGCAGTGTAAGCTCAGAACATTTAAAGATCCTAGTTAACAGTCTGGCATAAGTGGAATGTACCACATATAGTGCAAGGGGCCTACTCTTTGCACATCTTCCTTCTTTGCAAATATCCTTCAGAAACATCCAAGAAAGTCATTGCATATACTCATTGAGTGCAGCCATCCTGCAGCAGTACACATAAACCAGATAATTATAAAAAGCTAGCTCTATTAGGAAGGGGATTTACGTTGCTGCCACAATGCGTAAGATTACAGCAACATATTCTCCTCCTGGTGTATTATTTAATACAGCTAATATATTTTATTTTTTAAATAACATGAGAAGAATAAATTTAGAGGGCATAGTTACTGTTTACATATTATGCTCATTCTTCAAAATTAGGACTTTCTGTATTTTTTTGATATTTTAACCATTGTAAAAATATTGAAGTTTTATTGCTCAAACATTATTTGGAGGAGGAAGGGATGGAGAGAAGGGGGGTGAAAAGTTTGATCCAAAGGCCAGGAAGTCAATGGAAAGCTTACCAGTGACCTCAGAAGACTTTGGTTCAGACTCTAAAGGATTGTTATTCTGCTGCTTAATGTTAAGGAAATGTTAGAGCTATTTTCTTCCAACCCTAAAAAAAAACAAAAAAAACAATAGGGAAAAAAATAAAATCAAGCCCACCAACACCCACTCTACTACCTAACCTACATAAGTCAAAGCCTGGGTTTGTTAATGTGAGGAATGTTTTAACAATTCGTGTCTATAAAGAACAATTCTGTTTGAATCCTGTCTGCCTCTGGGCCCTGCACTGGCCATTTAATTCTTGAACCACAGATGCAGTGTGTCCCAGTCTCCCCCTCATTCTAGTCAATTTATCAAGTCTTCAGAAAATACTCCTCAAATTTATGAACCTGTTTGCTTTTGTTATTCCGGACTTCTAACAGTTACAGCCTTTTTTTTCCCTGTCTTCTTCGAGATTAACTTAACACTGCTATAGATGTGACTGTCCCTGTGAATGGCTGGGGAAGAATGTTTTAATTACTCGTGAAGCGTCAATAAGAAAGCTGTTTGTGTTTGATGTCTGGGAGTTTCAGAACAACTGATAATAACTAGTGACTGTTATGGGATACTATGCAGACCTTTGGTATCTGGCCAGGGGGCCAAGAGATTAAGAAGAAGAAAAAGAAGCTGAAGGACGGCTGGGAGACAAGACCTGCAGAAAATGTTCTATAAACTTGGTATGGTGCCAAGTGAGTACAAAGGGGAGAGGAAGACTACGAGCCTTCAGCATGAAAGACCCCTAGAGACCCCCAGAGGAGACTGATGCGCATGCTCCAGTAGGAGGGACTGGACCCCAGAAGCCAATTATAATAATCTATTATTTTTTTTTTAAGAAGTAGTAATGAATAAATGAATATGTATTAGTCTAGGAGCATAAAAATCAGCTGCTTGATGTAACTGGTGTGCGTCCTGGTGGAGCGGAGACTCCCGGTGCACCCAGCGCTGTTTGCTTACCTCTATTCCTTTATATTCTTTTAATAAATCCTATTATTTTTTTTATTTAATCCTAATTTGAATCCTGAGCCATTTATAACATTAATAAGAATAATAAAATCCCACTGATCAAAAGAAAAAGGAAGATTTCAGTTGAAAGCTTAACGAGTTGAGAATTTTTACGCTATGGTTTTCCAAGCAGCTTAAGTCAGCAGAAATTAGCACTGAAATGTCCATCTAATCTCTCAACCCATCGACACCTTCCTTTCTTTGACCTTGCGTTTCAGCATTAACAGGGATCAAGAAACCATTTTGGATGGAAAAAAAAGTCCATTAAGTTTTATCACAGATTCATTCTCTGATCCCATTTGCTATGAGGCTGCACATAGTCTTGAGCTAGTATAAGAGCATAGCACAGGGACAAACTTAACCCACTGAAAGTAAAGAAAGCATAATATTGCTGCTTTCAGCAGCATGCTAGCTTCCCTCTGATCATGAAACTACGGCATTAATGTGTGCTAGAGAACAAAACAATTTCTTTTAAAAAGTCTGTAAGTGCTTTAAACTGAAATGATGCCAACATCAAGTATTATTTAGTTTAGCACTGACTACATGTTTTTGAAAACATTCAGTGAGCATGTATCTGAAAATAAGGTATGAGGAAATAAAAAGTCAACTTCATTCTACTGCTTTCTTCCATGAAAACAGTTTTGATTATTTTTATTATTTTCATTTTTATTATAATTTGCTTCAATAATATAATTATGAAATAATATAATGACCATGTATTATTTTCATTGGCATGTACCAAGGTACAAACATATCTGTTAGGTAGCAAACCTAATATACCTACCTGGCTCAATAGCAGCAGATATGAAAGACTGGGCTTCCCTTACTCTCTTCATCACTTCTTCCAGTTCTTTGGCAGCAGCTTGTGGCGTCATTTCAGGAGGCTTCACTATTGCATTGTTGGAGTGGTTTATTCTAAATTAGGGAAAAAAGCCTTTAACCCACAAACACTTTAGAAGGAAAAATGAAAAGTAAGAAAGGAAAACACCTTAACTCCGACATATAACTGAAAACTCTGAAGTTCAAGCAAAACTACAGATTTTTCCCTAACACTCATTTATGCCATGTCTAAATATCTAAAATATCTGTCTTTTACTGCTTTCAAATCTTACAGCTTTTAAATAAGTGAGGCACAACACTTTAATTTGTATTTGTATAGAATAATATAAAAGTCTAGAAATCTGTTTCTCTATTTTAGATAAAATCTCTAAGGCCTACTGATTGCATAGACAACATATATAAAGTTTAATTAGTACCAAGGACTTTGCAGATTCTCTTGTTGTTATAGCTTTCACTACCTTAAGATTAAATGTAATTATATTTTACTCTATGCCATCCAGATTCTTCTTAGAGAAAGTTATGCCCAACCTTGAAATCAGAGTTTATGGAAGTGTTCCAGTTTGCTAACAGGTCCTTATATTGAATAAATATTAATCACAGCAGTTTCTTTTAGATCAAAATCATAAACATATAAGGATACTAAGAAACCTCTCATTCAATATTCATATTGGTAATTAATTTCTTACTTCAGTGGCCTGTCTCCAAACATAACTCCATTAAAGGCAAGAGCTCGTGGTACAGAATTTTGGTCTGCAAATTCCACAAAAGCAAACCGTGTTGGTTGTGTCTCATCACCTGCCATTCGCACAAATTTGACTTCTCCAACTTGTTTAAAGAATTCAAGCAGTTGATCTGCTGTTGTAGTCTAGAAAGAGATGAAGAAGATGAAGAGCTCAGCTGAAGTAAAACATATGTTGGATAAGTGGTTTTCATTATAACAGATAATCTAAAAACTATATAGGTTTTGGAAAGACATCACACTGTTATTACATAGGCAGCATGAATTTGGTGATGTTATACTTCAGGAAATACAGATACTATTTTTTTTCTTCCATTAACATAAAGAATATACTATCATTTAAGACAGTACAACCACAAGCCCTCAAGTAAAACCCTGAAGAGCTATGTTTAGGTTATAAATACACTTGCACAGGATATTGCACTTTCCAGGCAACTAAATTAAAATAATTGATGAGGGAATTCTTCATACACCTACATCCAAGCTATTTTTGGTACTGGTTGTGATTTTTGATCAATAGAAACAACAACAAACAAATAAAAAAAACAAAACCAGAATAACTTTAAGTCAACTTTTAATCTGTTTCTCCAATAACTTCCAACTACTTTTATTTTTTTGTGATTGATAATACTCTAGTACATACTTCAGCAGTCAAATAAACACCAAAATCAAATACTTAAATTGTCATCAGTCAAAAACAATTATTTTTTCAATTAAATAAAAAAAATCGCTGGAAAAGAAGAAAATCTCTGACAGTCCTAGTTTTCCTGTCAGAAACTCACAGAATGACTGAGATTGGAAGGGACCTCTGAAGATCATCTAGTCCAACCCCCCTGCCAAGCAAGATCAACTACAGCACATTGCGCAGGATGGTATCCAGGAGGGTTCTGAATATCTCCAAAGAAGGAGACTCCACAACCTCTCTGGGTAACCAGAGTCTAAATCTATTCTCTTTTAGTTTAAGACCATTACCCCTTGTCCTATTCATTATCTACCTGAGAAAAGAGTCCTTCTCAATCCTTTTTATAAGAACCCTTTAAGTATTGAAAGGCTGCAATGAGGTCTCCCTGGAGCCTTCTCTTCTCCAGGCTGAACAGCCCCAGCTCTCTCAGCCTTTCTTCATAGGAGGGGTGCTCCAGTCCTCTGATCATCTTTGTAGCCCTTCTCTGGACTTGCTCTAACACGTCCACATCCTTCTTGTGCTGGGGCCCAAGACCTGGATGCAGTATTCCAGGTGGGGCCTCATGACAGCAAAGTAGAGGGGCACAATCACCTCCTTTGACCTGCTGGTCACACCTCTCTTGATGCAGCCCAGGATGCAGTTGGCCTTCTGGGCTGCAAGCACACACTGCTGGCTCATGTTGAGCCTTTTGTCCACCAGAACCCCTGAGTCTCTCTCCGCAGCACTGCTCTCAATGAGTTCTTCTCCCAGTCTGTACCCATGCCTGGGATTGCTGTGACCCAGGTGCAGTACCTTGCACTTGGCCTTGCTCATAATATAGAATCATATCATAGAATCATTAAGGTTGAAGAAGACCTTCGAGATCATCCGCTCCAACCATCACCCTACTACCAATGTCACCCATTAAACCATGTCCATAAGTACTATGTACAACCTCTCCTTAAACATCCCCGTGTAGCTATTTAAGGTGACTCTACCACCTCCCTGGGCAACCCGTCCCAATGCCTGACTACTCTTTCTGAGAAGAACGGTCTCCTAATTTCAAAAATTAAAGCTCCCCTGGCCCAACTTGAGGCCATTCCCTCTAGTCCTATCACTAATTTTCTGTGAGAAGAGGCCGATCCCCAGCTCCACACAACTTCCTTTCAGGTAGTTGTAGAGAGCAATAAGGTCTCCCCTGAGCTTCCTCCAGACTAAACAATCCCAGTTCCCTCAGCGGTTCCTCATAGGACTTGTGTTCCAGGCCCCTCATCAGCTTCGTAGCCCTTCTCTGAACAAGTTCCAGGGCCTAGAGGTCCTTCTTGTAGTGAGGGGCCCAAAACTAAACACAGTACTGGAGGTGTGGTCTCAGAGCAGAGTACAGGGGGATGATCACCTCCCTGATCCTGATGGCCAAGCTATTCCTGACAAGCCAGAATGCCGCTGGCATTCTTGGGCACCTGGGAACACTGCCGACTCACATTCAGGTGAGCATCAATCAGCACCCCCAGATCATTTTTCTCTGCACAGCTTTTGAGCCACTCTGCCCCACGCCTGTAGCACTGCATGGGGTTGTTGTGACCAAACATAGCCATGTTGATCCTCACCCCACTGGCCTCTACCCATCAATCCAACCTGTCCAGGTTCCTCTGCAGGGCCTTCCTACCCTCCAGCAGACTGATACTTCCCCCCAACTTGGGGTCTTCTGCAAATTTCCTGAGGGTGCACTCAGTTCCCTCATCCAAATCATCAGTAAAGATTTTCAAGAGGATGAGCCCCAACACTGACCCTGGGGAAACACCACTGGTAACCGGTCACCAGCTGGATTTCACTCTGTTCAACACCACTCTCTGGGCCCAGATATCCAGCCAGTTTTTTACCCAGCAAAGAGTGTACCTGTCCAAGCCATGGACTGCCAACTTTTTGAGGAGAATACTATTAGAGACCGTGTCAAAGGCTTTGCTGAATTCTAGGTAGACTACATTAACAGCCTTTCCCTCATCCAACAGGTGGGTCACCCAGTCATAGAAGATGAGGTTGGTCAGGCAGGACTTGCCTTTCATGAACCCATGCTGACTGGGTCCGACCCCTGGTTGTCCCGCATATGCTGCGTGATTGCATTCAGGATGACCTGTTCCATCACCTTTCCTGGCACCAAGGTCAGGCTGACAGGCCTGTAGTTCCCCGGGTCCTCCTTACGACCTTCCTTATAGATGGGTGACACGTTAGCAAATTTCCAGTCATACAGGACCTCTCCAGATGACCATGATTGCTGATAGGTGATAGAAATCAGCCCAGCAATCACATCCACCAGCTCCCTCAGCACCCTCGGTTGGATCCCATCTGGTCCCATGGACTTGTGACAGTATAGGTGGAGCACCAGGTCTCTAACTGTTTCCACCTGAACTGTGGGGGGTTTCTTCTGCACCCTGTCCCAGACAAATTCCAGGTTGGGAGGCTGAGTACCCTGAGGATAAGTGGTCTGGCTAGTGAAGACAGACATAAAGAAGGCATAAGGAATCTTTCTTTTCCTTATCCTCAGTAGTCATGTATCCCCCTGCGTCCAGTAAAGGAAGGAGATTCTCCTTGGCTCTCCTCTTGCCATTAATATATTTATAAAAGCATTTTTCATTACCCTTAACCATAGTGGGCAGGTTAAGCTCATGCTGGGCTTTGGCCTTCCTGATTTTTCCTGATTTTTTCTCTGCATATGCTGGCAACTTTCTTGTACTCTCTGAGTTGTCTGCCCCTTCTTCCACCAGACATAAACTCTTTTTTGCTGGAGACTCAGAAAAAGTTGTCTGTTCAGCAACGCTCATTTTTCTTCCCCACCGACTCATCTTACAGCACAAGGGGACAGCCTGCTCCTGCACCTTTAAGACTTCCTTCTTGAGGAGCATCCAGCCTTCCTGGAAGTCCCCTCTCCTCTTCAGGACTGACTCCCAAGGGACCCTCCCTACCAGTGTCCTGAACAGTTCAAAGTCTGCCCTCCAGAAGTCCAAGGTAGCAGTTTTACTGACCCCCCTCCTGACTTCACCAATAGGGAACTCTACCATTTTGTGGTCACTCTGCCCAAGACAGCTCCCAACCACCACATCTCCCACCAGTTCTGTGTTCATGAACAGCAGGTCTAGTAGGTCACCCCCCCCCCCCCAGGAGGCTCACTAACCAGCTGAGGCAGGAAGCTGTCTTCCATGCACTCCAGGAACCTTCTAGACTGCTTCCTCAGGGCTACATTTTATTTCCAGCATGTCTGAGAAGTTGAAGTCCCCCACGAGAACAAGCACTGGTGATTGAGCGAATTCCACCAGCTGCTTACAGAATGCCTCATCCGCCTCTTCATCCTGATTTGGTGGTCTATAACATACCCCACAAGGATGTCCACCTTCTTGGCCTTCCCCCTGATCCTTATCCACAGGGACTCTACCTTATCATTGCTAACCTCGAGCTCAACAGCATAGAAACACTCTCTAATATAGAGAGCCACACCACCTCCCCTCCTTTGTTGCCTGCCCCTTCTGAAGAGCTTGCAGACATCCATTGCAGCACTCCAGTCATGGGAGCGGCCCCACCGCGTTTCAGTGATGGCAAGTAGGACATAGTTTGCCTGCCCCACAGTGGCTTCCAGCTCCTCCTGTTTGTTGCCCATGCTGCATGCATTAGTATAGATGCACTTCAGTTCCACCATTGCCCTTGCCCCTAACCCTGGGACTTCTCCCCCAGGCTCATCTCTATCGAGCCTCATATCCTCCCCATCTCCCTCCATACCTAGTTTAAAGCCCTCTCAACAAGCCCTGCCAGCTCCTGGGCTAGAATCCATTCCCCCCTTTGAGACAGGTGGGACCCATTTCCAGCCATCAGGCCAGGTGCCAAGTAAGCCTCCTCATGATAAAAAAAAAATAATATATATATATATATCTCCTGTGACAGCATCAGCCTCTCAGCCATGCATTGATCATCTGGGCCTTCCAGGTCCACTCAGTGTCCTTCCCTTCCACTGAAGGGATAGAGGGGAAACACCACCTGTGCTCCCAGTCCATCCACTAACCACCCCAGTCCCCTGAAGTCCCTTTTGATAGCCTTTCAGTTTCTCTCAGCAATTTCTTCACTGCCAGCCTGAATTATCAGTAAGGGGTAATAATCAGAGGGGCAAAAAATGTCAGGAAGTTTCCTGGTAATGTCCCTGACCCAGGCCCCAGGGAGGCAGCAGACTTCCCTACATGTAGGGTCTGGCTGACACATGGGGCCCTCTGATCCCCTCAGAAGGGAGTCAACTACGACCATGACCATTTCCTTCTTGGTGGACAGTCTCGAAGCATGAATTTGACTTTCTCCCACATCCTCACTGCCCTGTCCCTCAAGCTCCAGGGCCTCAAACCTATTGTGTAAGGGCACCCATGAAGGTGAGGCAGGTAGGGTAGGGAGGGGGCTCACCTGCAATGCCAAACAGGGACCTGTTTCCATTCCTCTCCATCTCTTCGGTCCCCTCCCACTGCCCAACAGCAACAGGGCAGAGGGTCCATCAGTATTTGGGGTGTGTCACCCCAGTGCCTTTCTTTCAGGCATGGCAGGGAGTGACTCCACCAGTCTAACTCCTGCTCACACTCCCTGATAGTCCTTAATCATTCCACCTCCTCGAGCTCTGCCACCAGGCTGATCAGATCGTCCATCTGCTCGCATCTCACACAGCCAGTATCTCTGTCACCCTCCACTGGTAGCAACAGGCTCAGGCACTCCCTGCAGATGAAGACATGAACAGCTGCATCTTTGGGCATATTCTTTTTTTCCCCCCCTTTCTTAAATATGCTCTCACAGAGGCACAACCAACATGGCATATTGGCTCGGCTCTGGTCAGCAGTGGGGCCCTTACCTAACATGGGACAGCTTCTAGATTCTTTTCACAGAAAACACACCTATGCCCCCCAGCTACCAAAACCTTGCCACGTAAACCCACTACAACACTGCCTCCAGGAGGATCTTTTCCATGATCTTGCCAGGCACAGAGGTGAGGCTCACCGGTCTGTAGGTCCCTGGGTCCTCCTTTCTACCCTTTTTAAAAATGGGAGTGATGTTTCCCTTTTTCCAGCCACCGGGGACTTCATCTGACTGCCATGATTTTTCTAATATGATGGAGAGTGGCTTGGCAGCTACATTAACCAATTCCCTCAGGACCCTGGGATGCATATCATATTTGAAGAAGCCCTTCTTATTGTCCTTGACATCCTTGCCAGATCTCATTTCAAATGGGCCTTGGCCTTCCATGTCACATCCCTGCCTACTCTGACAGTGTCCCTATATTCCTCCCAAGTGTCCTGTCCCTTTTTCTACATGCTGTGTACTTCCTTCTTCTGACTGAGTTTTGCCAGGAGCTCCTTGCTCATCCAAGCAGGTCTCCTGCACCCTTTGCTTGCCTTCTTACTCATAGGGATGCACTGATCTTGAGCTTGGAGGAAGTGATGCTTGAATACTGACCAGCTGTCTTGGACCCCTCCTTCCTTCCAGGGCCCTAACCCATGGGATTCTTCCAAGCAGATCCCTGAAGAGGAAAGTTTGCTCTCCTGAAGCCCAGGGTCGCAATCCTACTTTTTGCCCTGCTTCCTCCTCACAAGATCCTGAACTCAATCATCTTATGGTCACTGCAGCCAAGGCTGCCTCTGACCCTCACATCTCTAACTAGTCCTTCCTCATTCGTTAATACAAAGTCCAGCAGCACACCTCTCCTTGTTGGCTTCTCCATCACCTGTGTCAAAGAGTTGTCATCAATGCACTGCAGGAACCTCCCAGACTGTTTGTGCCTAGCTGTGTGGTCTTCCCAGTAGATATCATAGTGCTTGAAGTCCCCCCAGGAGAACCAGGACTTGTGACCAAGAGGCTACTTGGAGCTGTTTGAAGAAGGCTTCATATATCTCCTCTTCCTGATGAGGTGGCCTGTAGCAAACACCCACAACAGTGAAAGCCATGGAAGCCTGCCCTTTAATCCTTACCCATAAGCTCTCAACTCGCTCTTCATCTACCCCTAGGCACAGCTCCACACATTCCAGTTGCTCTCTCACATAAAGAGCAACTCCACTACCTTCTTCTCCTGGTCGATCTTCTCTAAAAAGCATGTAGTCCTCCACGACAGCATTACACTCGTGTGAGCCATCTTACCATGTCTCTGTGATTACAATGAAATCATAGCCTTTGAATTTTGAGTTATTTGTGTGTGGTCACAAGATATTTATGAAACTCAAAGATATTTATGCTAATTTTGCAAGTTTCCACTAGGAAAAATCATTAACCTTTTGCCATAGCTAATCCCTTGTATGTCAAAAAGTAAATTCCTTCTTACTGTACTTAGGGAACTGCACGCTGTTATATGAGACAGCTACCATGATCTTACAACTTCTGAGACACTGCTCAGCTAACACAACCCAGATGGATATTTCATCAATGCACACAATTATATGCATGTTTCTTGAATTCAAGTAGAGTATGATTTCTCTGGTATCTTGCTAGAATGAATTCCACAGCCTAGACTGAACTTATTGTCACAGGAACATTCAAAATTCAAAATATCACTAGTAAACAATAAGAATCTTTCTTTTGGTTGTTTAAATTCCTACTGAAATCAATTAACAAAAGTTCTTAACACTTAAGATTGTAACTTATGAGTTATAACTCTACATCCTCCATTACTATTTCCAACAAAAAAAAGCTACCTGTGAATTCAAGTTTCCAACATAGACAGTTCTCCTGATTTCATCAATTTTGGATGGATCCACATTCCCCATAACTGGTGGCTGTGGTATTTCTCCCAGTGCTGTAATGTTAGGGTCCAATGATGCTGCTGATATTGCCCCCAAACTGCCAAGTGAAACACTGAGCTGGAGGAAAAAAAAAAAAAAAAAAAAAGTATACACAGGCAGAATATACTTCACTTGTTAATACTTATCTTCCTTGTGCCTTTCTGTAAAAGTCAACTCAATGAATATAGACACTATTTTAAACTGCATGATCCCAGTTGAGTAATTATTTTTTTAAGAATAAAAATCTACCCACAAATAACCATATATAGTTAAGATTTTCTGGGTTAAACCACTACAAAAGCACACAGTTAGCAGCTAAGAACCACACAGATGTTTGCTCACCCTATCCACCCTCAATTTTCACTCGATTTTCCCAGAGGCTGGTACATGATGGGGATGTGATACACCCACTCAATACCATGCTCTTTGGCCCAAGTGTCTATAAGGTTGTTTCGGAAATGAGTCCCATTGTCTGACTCAATTCTTTCTGGGGTGCCATGTCACTACAGGACTTGCTTTTCACAGAATCACAGAATTCTCTAGGTTGGAAAAGACCTCAAGATCATAAAGTCCAACCTCTGACCTAACACTAACAAGTCCTCCACTAAACCATATCACTAAGCTCTACATCTAAACGTCTTTAAAAGACCTCCAGGGATGGTGACTCCACCACTTCCCTGGGCAGCCCATTCCAATGCCTAACACCCCTCTCAGTAAAGAAGTTCTTCCTAATATCCAACCTAAAACACCTCTGGTGCAACTTTAGCCCATTCCCCCTCATCCTGTCACCAGGCACATGGGAGAATAGATCAACCCCCACCCCGCTACAGCCTCCTTTAACATACTTATAAAGAGCGATAAGGTTGCCCCTGAGCCTCCTTTTCTCCAGGCTGAACAAGCCCAGCTCCCTCAGCTGCTCCTCGTAGGACTTGTTCTCCAGACCCCTCACCAGCTTCGTCGCCCTTCTCTGGATTCGCTCGAGCACCTCGATGTCCTTCTTTCAAGGCCCAGGATAGCGCCCCAGGCAGTGGCATGGGGCACAGGATATGTTTCCAGCCTCCTTTGGTGGTTGCTTCCACCATTGGAAGTATGTGGTGCTTGCCAATGCGGGATTGAGGGAGTGTGATGTAATCAGTCTTCTGGGCCTCCCCATATTTATATTTCAGCCATCATCCTCCATACCAAGGAGGTTTTGACCATTTGGCTTGCTTGACTGCAGCACGTTTCACAATCATGAATAACCTGTGCTATAGTGTCCATGGTCAGGTCCACCCCTCCATCACGAGCCCACCTGTATGTTGCATCTCTACCTCGATGGCCTGAGGTGTCGTGGGCCCATCGGGCTATAAATAATTCACCTTTATGTTGCCAGTCCAGGTCCACCTGAGCCACTTCAATCTCAGCAGCCCAATACACCTGCTAGTTGTTTTGATGTCCTTCAGTGGCCCAATTCTAAGGTGTTAGAAATCTTCAGCAAGACACCAGTAACTTTTTTTTTTTTAATGTAACAAAAAGATACTACTTAGCTTTGTCTTGAAATCATCCTTTCATTATTCAACAGAAAGGGTCAGATAGCTTGACTTCCTCTTTTATAGTGTAAAATTCACAAATAATTTATCAAAGATTTTATATAAAAAAAACAAGCAAATTTACCTTGGAAGGTTAATTTAGAAACAAACATCTCTAAATAACACAATTATACTTGATTAGAAACAATTACAAAGTGGAAGCATAAGTAAACACATTTTTGTCTGTGAAGTGCCTGAACTATCACTTCCCAAGTCAATGAGTGCAATATCGCCTATTTCAAGAGAGGAAAATAAAAGCCATCATTCTTGTCAACTAGAAGTGATTTTCAAATCCATGCAATTTCTCTTATACAATGACCATTATGAACCATACACAGAATTAACATCAAAACATTTAATTGGTGATTTTGATCCCACTGTTTAATTATTTGTATGCTCTAAAACAGGTGTGGGAGGACAATCTTCAAAAAGGATGCTGACCTGTATGTGCAGATTTATTAAATATTGTTTTAACCAAGTTTTATTCTGCAACTTCTTTTTTACGAAAGGAAGGAAAGAAGGAAGATACTAAACATTAATTTCTTTTAGGATGCTGATCAATAGCTGTTAAGAATATAGAAGTGGAAATATTGTTTCTAGTAATGGAGACAAAAGAATAATTTAAGGACAGATTTGGGACTCTGCACATTCACATCTTGCAGTCTACCCTCAGAAGAGGCACCACAGCTAAATCTTCATTGATTTAGCATACAAGAGGACAACATCCATGGATCAGATAGTTGTTGTTCTCTGAACACAGAAAAGGCTATCGAGTATAGAAGAAACCAGAAATCAAATAGCAACTGAATTTTACTTACTGTAGTCAAAGGGGTTGGTGTAGGTATAGGAAGCAACCCTGCACCAGGCATCAGGCTTGTCATAGTAGGAGCAGGTGCCAATAGAGAAAGGGCTTTGGCTTCATCTGGGATTTTACCTGAAGAAGCAATTTAAAGTGTTATACGGCGTTGGAACACTACACAAATTTTCTACACGCTCTATGATTTTATAATTACCCTTACATTTAAAAAGGTTCATTCTTATTTATTACCTATGAGATCCTTACAAAGAAAGTAGTAGGAACAAATGCAAGGAATAAGTTTTCCCTTTTAACCTGCTCTACTTGAAAAAACAGAAGTGAGCAATACTTCAAAGACTAGCAATTTCATTAATTGATTATTTTAAAAACTGAACAATGCACACAATCATTTAACACTTTGAACTGTGGGTCACCTGTACTGGAAATTAAATGTTCATGAACCAAACGATATCAAGCATGGACAATTTCCCAGGACGATGTTTTCACGGGGATCGAAAGTTGTTTTACACATGACAACCATTCATGTTAGCTGCATCACTAATAGCACACAGAACATCAGATACAGAAAAGAATATCAGTTTTTAAAGTTTAATCCCCATAAATGGCAAATAACCCAATCAGTAAAAGAAGGGGGGGGAAGAAGAAGAAAGAAAAAAAAAGTATTTGCTATCTGAAATTTGTGACGACCCCCCCCACAATCTGGTGTTACCTATCTCTGATATAAAAATAAATAAAAATAAAATAAAAAACTACTGTGATTCTACACAATAAATACTACAAGTGAAGTTGGGAGTTGAGGAGGGCAGAAAAATTTAGATTTTTACTGTCTTACATTCTAGGTCACCTCAGCTTAACTGAAACTTCGATGTAAGCTGCAAATATACTGAGATTGAAGAAAAACATAACCAATCAGCTAAGCAAGCTATATTTTCCTAAAATATGTATTTACTACAGTTTCAAACAGATTATATTATCCCTGTCATGATAACAGTTTAAGTAATATCTTATCTAAACGCAGGTTTAATTCAAAGTCAGTTACAATTAGACTGCTAAATTAACCCCCCAAAATCTTCAAAAAGTAAAAGATACAATAGTTAAGCAATTTATTAAATGTACATATTAGATTTGAAATGCAAAAGGATTTAAACTAGCACAAAACACTTGAAAAGTTCTAATTATACTAGGTATCGATCATCTTTTCAAAATTGTTGGTGTAACTATAAATGACACCTAACTGAACCCTCTGGTATTACCCCATGGACTTTATTGAAGTAAATGCTTTTATTTAAATGTTTTTAAAGTCAAGATATCTACAAAGAATGTGCCAGTGTCTTTTACTGCTTTGGTTAGAACTGTGTATTTTTAATACAAACCCCTAACTTTAGGGATTTAAAAAGAATATATTAATATTCTTATCAAAAACAAAATACTGGAGAATTTTCAAAACTGTTCAATTTTAGCTACGCAAGTTCCAATAAACTCCACAGGAATCATACTACCTAAAAAAAAAAAGTACTTAAAAGTACTGTTGCAAGCCAGTACTGCAGGTCTGCAGCAAGGATTGAGTTACAATAGGATGCAACCAAAGCACAAAAAAATCTAAATTAAAATTATTAAACAATTAAAAATATTTAAGAAATATGCAGCATGGGTGGAATAGAAGAGAAAGTCAGGCATTTTGAAGGCAGGCATGCAACGAGAGGTGTACCTGATTTGCCTGACTGCTCATGAGAATGAGGTACTCTGCATCTAACTAAATAACCTTCCAAATACATGCTTGCAGTAACTGCATGCAAATTAGGCATACAATTATATACCAGTTCTTCTGAAAAAAATCAAAATAATTGTTTTCAAACAATTGATGAAGTAGACCATTAACTATTGGACCTTATTCTGAACAGCCAGCATCTTGCAATTAACTGTATACTCATGCAGGTTTCCACAGGACCAACAGACAGCTCAAGTAAATCCAGTGACAGAAATGGTTCCTAAAACTGTGCAACTGCATTCTAATTTAGATCCTTGGTCAGTCATGTACATAAACATGCCTATATTTAAGTATGCACTTACATACAGCCAATTAATACACACTTAACAGATTAAGGTATTTAGCCTTTTTACATAAATAGGAATTGAGTTAAGCACATAACTAAACAATGAGTTCAGTTCAAAAATGTACTTAAATGAAAAACCTAAACTTTAAGAATATAGCCCATCTTACCGAATAACTGGATTATTAATTTGCTCAAATGTTGCTTAAGGAATACGCTAAGCACTTTCATATTCAATAGTCAACTATTATGTATGTTCTTCATTCTTTTAACTGCTATATCTAAATTATATGTTAGCAGCATTTTTTCAAAGATATTTTGGTCTCTCAACAACGTAATGCTTTGTTTTAAGTACAAAATCCTGATGGTGAGTTCCATGCCACAAACAAAGATGTCCTCATTTATTTTATTCAATAATGGAGAAGGGTCCCTCTCTACAGACAGAACCCTGAAAATTTGTCTGTATTTTCAGATTAACTGTCTTCACAAGTTCACCCTCCAGTTTTTAAAATCAGATCAAACTAATCAAACTTTAACAGTTTTATAGAAAATGAATTGGGGAGAGGGGGGCTAAAATATCTTATAATTTCCTTTCCTGTTCTTTAGACATTTTTGAAAAACAAATCAATAAGTGAAGCTAACTAACCTAACAGCCATTAGGTTTTGGAATTTTATCTCCTTAATATTTAGAAAAGGAATACAAAGCTCACAAATATATACAGCAGAACATATCAGTTAATACAACTATTTTGGACATTAAGAATTATTTAAAATAACTGCTTTGGTGTTTAAATTCATGCTTTTAATCTTAAGACAAATGGAAATGAAGTAAAGATATTTATGTTCTAATAAGGGGAAATTGTCAAAAATAAATATGCCGCATATATACCACACACTTAGAAATATTTCCTATAAGTTTTTGAGCTTTACCTTGATCAGAGGGTTGGAGCAACTCTCCTATGAAGAGAGGCTGAGAGAGTTGGGGTTGTTCAACCTGGAGAAGAGAAGGCTCTGGGGAGACCTTATAGAGGCCTTCCTGTACCTTAAAGGGGGCCTACAAAAAAGCTGGGAAGGGACTCTTTGGGAGTGTAGTGACAGGGCAAGGAGCAATGGTTTTAAACTAAAAGCAGGGATATGTAGATTAGATATTTGGAATAAATTCTTTACTCTGAGGATGGTGAGGCACTGGAACAGGTTGACCAGAGAAGCTGTGGATGCCCCATCCCTGGAAGTGTTTAAGGCCAGGTTGGATGGGGTTTTGAACAACCAGGTCTAGCAGAAGGTGTCCCTGCCCATGGCAAGGGGGTTGGAACTAGATGATCTTTAAGGTCCCTTCTAACCCAAACCATTCTGTGATTCTATAAATAGAAATACTACTCTGAGATCTTTTTCATTAAAGGGCTGGCACATCAAGCAGGTGTCCTCCTATGTCTCTTGCCAGTTGAAGCCTGTTCTGTTAATACTACGTATTTGAGATAAGAGTCTGGTCTTAGGCTATATCTGGCTACTTTCAGATCAACATCTTCCAATGAACAGAACTGGTGTTTGCACACCCAACTGAGATGAAACTCCTGAACTGGCCTTCACATACTCAGAGAGTTGGAACCAGATGATCTTTAAGGTCCCTTCCAACTCTGAGCATTCTATGAGTTTGATCCTCACATCTTTATTTATTTATTTACTCCTTGCTTTGTAAAGCAATCTGTAAGCAAACAGATTAGCTCTGCATTGTCTAGAAATATTTTATGCTTCTTAGGAAGCTTACAGTTGTCCTAAATGTAAGTTATGATTGTTACTTTTTCCAAAGTGCTTAAGAGCCCTATAGTTAACCTAATCCATACCAGCATCCATTTTGCTAAACGCTGAATAAAAATATCTATGTTAAGCAAGTGCTAATCACAGTATTTTATTCTTCTCCAAGTACTCAGAAAAAAATAATTTCATATTCTTCTTACTGAAAATAAATGCTTAATCCTCCCCCCAAAACTGCTTTGACATTAAGTTTGTTTTAAAAATACATTCTGTTCACATCTACTCTAAACAAATAATTTTTCTGCTTTTTTTTTTTTTTAAATCAATGGCAAACACACACAAAATAATTTGTGTGATTCCATTTATGATTCTTATTGGATTTAGCAGTAGTGATTAAAGAGATTACAACTACTGGCAATTACCTCAACTGGCACAACTAAATCCAACAGAGATCATGAAGCTCTCTCCAGCTGCAGTTCACAGCTTGGTGCATTACCAAAGTGAAACCCATTGATTTAAATGCACTTAGCTGGGAAGAACAGTGTCTGAGATGAGATACACCACCCACCCCATCACTTCTACTTCAGTGGTTCCATTTCACAAGAAAGTAGTAAGACCATCACCTAGAGACGATAACCTTCTCAGTCACTCCAGCATGAACTGCCAAGGCTTGTAAGATTATGAGATGACCAAGACAAAAGAAAAAAAGAAAAAGTGTTAAAACCTCTTTTAGAAATAACCACCACTGGAGCATGTAGAAGTGCAATACACACATACAAAACTGATTCAATCTTCCCACTTTTCTCTAAAAATTACAAATAGAGAAGGATGAAGTCTTACTGCCACTGATCTCACTGGAACAAGACTATATTCACAAGTATTTCATGACATTCAATATCCATGAAAGTTCAATTTCAGAAATAATTAAACTCTTTATATTAGACATAAATAGAAAGACTTCTTTTAAACAGACCATGCAAATTGGTATATTTTTCACTATTCTAGTCTTCTAACACGATGTGCTCATCTGTTGATTTTAGATGCTTAAATGTATTCCAAACCAAATTTGTCTGTCATTCACAGCATGAAACTTAGTTAATCATATTCAGTACCTACCATCCACCATTGATAAACAGCTTTAGGTCAACTTCAAAAAAAAACATCGTGAACTCTTTACAAAATACCATTTTTAAAGAACCAAAGTACCAGTACACAAGGGAAAGAGACTGAACACAACAAAACAAAAAAGGCACAAAATAAAATAAAACCACAGAAAGAAAGCAAAATAAAATAAAAACTGAGACAAGGCGTCCATCTTCAGCAGGCCAGGCTTCAAACTCATTTCCCCCATCACTTGATGGCAGGTTTAGTGGCATGGCAAACAACACCTAAGTCAGGCAAGTGTAACAGGTCTATCTTGGCCAGTCTAGTCATCTAATAATGCATAAATATCCCACAGAAAACATACACAACCAAATTAATAGTCAAAATTCATCTACCAGATAGCATGGTCATAAGATTTAGAATGGTTAGGATGGCATCTTTTTCTTTTAACCTTTGAGCTCTCGAAGTATAACATTTAAAGAAAAAACTACTGATAGATACAAAAGAAAGTTATACTTTGACAGTTTGATGCCACATCATTTACAATTACATTTTGTTAAATTGTTTAATAAATGTCACAAAACTAACATTGATTTATGAAGGGATGGCAAGACATGGACTCCTGATGCCTCTTGAACAGGAAACATTTATTGCCATTTTTCACTACTACATATACTTTCCCCATAGCCCCACACGCTGTCCATGCGCCTGAATCTGTCATACAATTGGTTAGAGACCCTCAGACACATGCCTTGAGCCAGCCAGTAATTGGCCACTGCCCAAAGCTCATCTTTAACACTGTAACCAATTTACTTCATTTCAGCCTTGCTCAAGCTTTTGTTTCTACTGCTTGTTTCCTCATTATCTCTAATTCAGGGACATGTGAAACAGCACGGAGCCACCTGCGAATTCCTTTCCCACAGATTTAATTGTGTAGTGATTCCCTCCTTATGCTCCCTTGATTTACCACTGTTTAAATGCACTCTAAATTTCACATTTTATTATTTAAAAAAATAAAAAAAAATCAGTCCTGTTTTACCTCTCCTGTGTTCAATTCAGTGCATGAACCATTTCATTAGTGGCACTGTTGGCCACCAATATAATTTAACCTCCCAGTAGAATATAGCCATTGCTACTTTTAAAGTCTGTGATATACTCCACTGATTCCATTAACAACGTATTATATGATACATAGGAAATCAAGAAATGTTGCACTGTGGTCTCCAAAACCATACTTCTACACAATAAATTCCTCAGAAAGTTAAACCTATATGATTTCACAGAATCACAGAATTTCTAGGTTGGAAGAGACCTCAAGATCATCGAGTCCAACCTCTAACCTAACACTAACAGTCCCCACTAAACCATATCCCTAAGCTCTACATCTAAACGTCTTTTGAAGACTTCCAGGGATGGTGACTCCACCACCTCCCTGGGCAGCCCGTTCCAGTGCCTCACAACCCTTTCAGTAAAGAAATTCTTCCTAACATCTAACCTAAAGCTCCCCTGGCGTAACTTTAGCCCATTCCCCCTCGTCCTGTCACCAGGCACATGGGAGAACAGGCCAACCCCCACCTCTCTACAGCCTCCTTTAATGTACTTATACAGAGCAATAAGGTCACCCCTGAGCCTCCTCTTCTCTAGGCTGAACAAGCCCAGCTCCTTCAGCCGCTCCTCATAGGACTTGCTCTCCAGGCCCCTCACCAGCTTCGTCGCCCTTCTTTGGACCCGCTCAAGCACCTCGATGTCCTTCTTGTAGCGAGGGGCCCAAAACTGAACACAGTACTTTCACATCTTTACAATTTAAGATCAGTGACTCTGTTAGAAAGTTGCATGGAAACAGCATTCTGACATTAAAGAAAAAAATTGACCTCACAACCCAATCACTTGTTTACCTAATTACATACAAATCTCTGGGGTCTAGAATGGAGAAAGTATTACTGTTCCAAATCATAATACATTTTCATCAGAAATACCTAATAAGTCAGCTACAAATGGCATTGAAAGAAGAGTTCTCAGAACTTTGACTTTATTTTCCTTCCATTCATTGTCTACCACTAAGAGACAGGAAAATGTAGCTTTACCTGCCTGTTCTCCTATCATGTCAGGCAGTGATCTCATCACAAGAAAAACACCAGGAAGTGTTGTTCGTTCATTAGGTGGCAATCTTCCCTCTCTGGTAGTACTGAACCAGTGTTAAGGTCTTTTGGATGAAACATAAAACTAAGATCCTGAATAATTTAGAGTCAATTATTTAGGGGCAATTTTACAGTATTAAGGACTCTGGTCTAATACATTTTGCTTACACAAAAGCTTCAAGTGGATATAGCAATAACTTCTTCAGGGTTTAAGAATAAGTTCAAAAATTAAAATCAAAAAGCTCCCAAAGCAAAGGATAAAATCAACTAAAAAAATTTAAGTTTCACAAAGACAAAAATATGTGCCTATATTAACAAGACTATGAGAATTGACAGTATATTGTAGGTCAGTATAACCCTTAAACTAGTTTTAGAATCTATGAAATTTTGGAGACATGTCAGAGTTTGCTATGAACATCCCAGACCATTATTACAGCAGCACTAATCTCATACTATCCATGTCATGATTTTGAAAACATGCAAAAAAAAAAAAAAAAAAAAGGTACTCTGGGACCACTGTTAATGAACTCCAAAAAGTCAACAGCATTTTTTGAGCCAAAACCTGGCTCCTGCAGTTAGAAAAGTCATGTTAATAGCAGATATTTCTGTACTTGCTATAGTTTATGGTTCAATCATTCTAAATATTGTTGTTCGTGGCAAAACAGCTACCATGTTCAAAGTGAATTTAGCTTTATTCCACCAGCTGGCATGTTTCCACTCCAAATAGGTTAAAAAAATATCTAGATTCAAATGGGCAGATGCTCAGTTCCACAAAGATCCCAACAAAATCAATGGGGCTTCACCTAACTGCAGTTATCTGCCTATATATACACTTCAGCAATAGTAGGGCCATTCTTCATAGAGTTGTACTCAGATCTGGGATATTACATTAACAATAAGAATTTCCTTATATTCCACGTATTTTTAAAAGTACGGCCTCAGAGCTAATTAAAGGAACACCTGTAAATTTAGTAATCAAACATTTTTATTTTAAGAGTTATAGAAATATTTTACACTGAAAGCATTCTGTGCAGATGATTGCACAAGAGATATCTAAAAATCAAAAAGGAGTACCAGAACGCATAAGAAAGCCTTTTTATTGCAAATAAAGTAATATTTTCCACAGTAAGAAGGGAAAACTTAAATCTTTTTATTAAACTAGCAGGTAAACATTTATATGTAAAAAGTAATTATCACCATAAATAACAAATATTTTAAGTTAGATAAAACTAAAGTGGCCAAATGCATATATAACATATCTATAAGACATACTGGAATTCAGTCTTAAAAGCACCACCACCACTCATACCAAAGGTGATACATTAAGATCCAAACTGTAATGTTACCTGTGACAGGAAATTGCCTAATCTTTTCAGTGCTCCACTGACTTCAGTAAGAACTTTATATGGGAATAAGCTTGCCAATACTAATCATATTGAAGGGAAAAACAATTTATTTTACCTTTTTCTCCCCCAAAATATATAACTATGGAAAACAGAATTATCCTAATTAAAAGCAACTTTTTTTTCCCCTAATGCTGAGTTGAATTAAATCTATACAATTAGGTTACTCCATTCAATTTTATTTCAATAATATTTTTTTCAAAAAGCAATAAAACAAAATAACAGAGCACTACCTCCTTACATGGAAAGCTTAAAACAACTAGCAGACAGGACAAAGACCAAAATTACAGAAGAATGTCTAAAATACCAACCTTCAGCACAGGGCACAACTATCAAAGCTCTGTCAATAAAAACTGTGTTAGTTAGATGCTGGGCCACACCAACACTTGATGCCTCACGAAACTTAATATAACATACTTTGGAAGAAAAAGCAAGAGGTGCGTTGCTGCAAGATAAAAGGGGAAGAAAAAAAAAAAACACAATTAGTTACATTGAATACATTTGTGTTTGTTTTTTTGTTTTTTTGTTTTTTTTTGTATATATGTGTTTTTTAAGTGTACTCATTGTGGCCTTCCAATACTCGAAGGAAGGTGTATAAACAGGAAGGGGAATGCCTGTTTACATGTGTTGATAGTGATAGGACAAGGGGGAATGGTTTTGAACTAAGACAGGGGAGATTTAGGTTAGAAATTAGGAGAAAGCTTTTCACTCAGAGTGATGAGGCACTGGAACAGCTTAGGTTGCCCAGGGAGGCTGTGGATGCCCTGTCCCTGGAGGCATTCAAGGCCAGGCTGGGTACAGCTCTGGGCAGCCTACTCTAATGCTTGGCAACCCTGCCCAGAGCAGGGGGGTTGAAACGAGATGACCTTCAAGGTCCTTTTCAACCCAGGCCATTTTATGATTCTATTATATATTTTTTTATTTTTAAAAAACAATAATATTTTTTAGACTTCCTGGAAAAAATACCCAAAAGACAAGAATATGGAAGTTTACTAACTTGTATACTTAATATCACTAAAAAGTGATATTAACACCTCCTCCTTTTTATTGGAAACTTTTAGAAGCCAAAATCCCAAGTTAACAAGACTTATTCTCTTTACAGATCTTGCTATACAACATTTCCAATTACTATTCTAAATAACACAAAACAAACTACATCCCATTTGTCAAGTAAATATTTTATAGTTAATCTTTTTTTTTTTCCCCTTACACTGTATAAGCCTTGTTCAGGGAATTCAAACAATAAGTCCGGCCATTTTCAGCAAGTCCTTCAAATATTAGCCCATACTAACTGAAAAAGTGTTTTAGGTCTTCACCAAAAATGTTTTGTTAATTCTTATTCATATTAAAGTGATTCTTGAGAATTCTTTCAAGTGTTTGTTCTTAGTTCACTAATGTAACAAAAACCCTTTATATCATCTACCCTAGTTTGACATAGTATAATAAGCAATAACATTGGAAGAGGTAATAGGAATTCACTCATCGTATTATGCATTAGGAAGACAATTACAAATATATATATTGGGTAATTTGCTTTTTCATTAAGAAGTACACCAAGAAAGATGTCAGAAAGCACAATATGTAAACATTGTAATCTTAATCAAAGTCAAAAATATTTGTTTTTAAAAAAATGTATTCCTTAGTTGAGGTTTATATCCTTTATACAAGCTTTTTCTTTCTTTTATATTTCTTCATATGAAGAAAATACACATAAAGTCTTCAAAGAAAGAATACTTCAAAGAAAGAATATTGCTGGAACATCAGCAAGTTCCATTTGAAGATTGTACTATCTTCCAAGACCACTCCAGATCATCCAGAAGCAAACAGTATTATAGCAGGGTTTTCAACACCTAATACAGACATCTCATCTCTCTCTGCTTTTCAACAACTTGGTCTGCAAAAATCCAATTTTTTCCTCAATAAAGATTTTCAATGTTTAACCACTTGAAAATCATCTTACAGTCACATTTGAAGGCTTATCACTACAAATTGAATTTTGAAGGCTTCTCTGAAACAGATTTCAACTGTACAAAGCATGACTGGGACTAATAATCTGATTACAGACATAACTGGTCTCCTAGTATGTTGAAAAACATTTCTAAGCTATATGAGTATTTAGCATACTAGAGTACACATTCAAGGCAAAAGACCTGTCACACCCTGCAAACCAGCTTCAGATTTCAACTGTACTGCAAACATAGTGATTTATAAAAACTGTTTTGTCTTGTTTAGAATTGTGTAAGAGTAGCCATATGTCCTGTTCTCACAAAACTCTAAGTAATCAAAAGAAAGATACCAAATTAATACTTAATTGATCACCACATTTTGTAAGACTCAATATAAATAATTTTAGGCTGTTAAAATGAACAACAACAACAAAAAACACACCACACAACAGAGACAAAAATTTCATGGAATAGCCTACAAAACAGGGGACACAGCATTCTATCTCATGTTACTGTATATTCAAATGTTGGCATCGCTTACCACACAAGAAGTACTGAAACCAAAGGGTTTTGATTAATGAAAATAAAACACGAATTGACAAACTACCAAAACTGCACGATTTAATTTAACATTAAGAAGTCTGCTCAATCCATTCTGGGATACAAAATAAAGGACTGTAACAGAAACTGTTACTTTAAAAACCAGCTTTCAGATACTAATTGCTGGGAAAAGTCGCTGGGTTCAGGAAGTTCACTGAGAACACTAAAGAGTCATCTTAAAGAACTCACATTTGATTTAATGCATTAGAAAACTGAGGTGGTTTCTCTCTCCCCCTCCACATTTTGCATGCTTACAAGAACTTTAAATCGTCTATTAGAGTAGTTCACTTGATATAATCTGTAACTAATTACACTCAGCATTGGAGACTTCCTTTTAGTTGTTTTTGTGCATTTTGTTTGTTTGTTTATTTTTTCCTTTAATAATTTTTCTGCTACATCCTATAAAACCAAGGGATGTTAGTGATAGGAGACTAGAAAAAAGTAGAAAAAAAATCAGTAAGAAGGAATTCTTCTCTCTAATACTAGTTCAGACAACCATAGCATAGCCCTATATTTTGTCCTAAAATCACTGAGACACCATAGATGCCAGATACATCATCCTTGCTTCCTATTAAGTCATAGCCTTCTTTTTTCATTCAAGTCAGCAGTAAAGTGGCTAATAATGAGTTATAGTGGAACGGTGCTATCAAAGGAATCTCTTATAAGGTGGATATTATCACCTGATTAAATTCACCATTGCTACAAATGCTTTGGATTGCTCTGACAGAGGAAAATAACTTCAGAATTTTCCCCTCCAATCCTCTGATAACACATAATGCTGCATCTTCCAGAAATAGGAAAATATTTAATAATTTAAAAAAAAAAAGTTGTCAAGAGCAATGTTCCAAAACGTATACATGTCTTTAACCAAGTTAATTCATAAATACCAGAATAAAACTTATTTCCTTTCAACCAAAAATTAGCTTTTTAAATGAAAAATCTTTTGAAATTAAATCCATAAAAACTATTCTATGAAATACTCAAATTAAGGGGAAGAAGTAGAAGGCTGACAAACATGACTGACTTGGAAGAGATAAGGAATAATTTATACTTCTATTTGGAAATACCTTAATACTTGATTAGGAAAAAAAAAGAAGAAAGCTTATATTCTTTATAAAAAGTGTATGCACATATATATATATATATTCTGTTAACTCTTGTGCATCATCAACAGAACTGGAAGTTCACATCCATTAGAAATAAGCATGCCCAGCAAAGGGAATGGGATTACAAACGTTACAGCAAACCTCTTAACTTGAATGCCCCTTTAAAAAAAAAAAAAAAAAAAAAAAAAAAAAAAAAACCACATACAGGAGAGTACAACTTCACCGTTCTGAAAAATCATGCTTGATTACGTAAAAATAGTGAGTACACTGAATATCTGCAATACCAAATTAGAAAAAAAAAAAAAAAACAGGTTACAATTGTACACAGTGCAACATGTAATTTTCTTTGACGCTTTTATCTATTAAAAAGTTAGTTTAATACTCTTAATATTATACCTTATATTATTCTTTAAACAAGAACTGGAATTCTGGAATGACTGAACACTACCATGCCACCATCCTCCCGTCTGATCCCCCCCCAACCTACACACACATAACTCAGGGAAGTGTCTGAGCGAAAAGAAGTGGACTACAGAATAGGTATTTCAGTAAAAGGAGGAAAAAGAGAGACGTGCGCCGCAGAAGCGCTTTGGGGACAATCTCTGAGCACGCGTCTCCCTAGGCCTTAGACTGTGACTCAGTGCCGGCATCATCCAGCGAACGGCCGAGCTCTTGCCGCTACCACTAAGCCACAGAACCCGCCGTGCTCCTACAGGCCACTCCGGAGATGCCGCAGGTACTTCAGGACAGGACCGCCATCTTAAGTTCGGATGGAGCTCCTTTCCCCTACCGTTCCTGTTATACAAAGGGGTAGGACCACGTGACCCCGCTCTCTGTGTGGGAGGTTGCGGTGCCCACAATCAAGATGTGGGGAAATCAAGTAGGGCCTTCTCACAACCCTCCCAACTCCTCTAAACCGTTTCATTCTCCCAGGTCTCTATCGCTCCGGAGACCGGTGCAGGCCCCACTTACTCTGGGGGATAGAGACGCAACTCCTCAATATCTCCCAGGAAACCGAAGAGAGTCCGCATCTGCTCACTGGTTACCGCCGAGGACAGGTTCGTGACCTGGATGACAGATGTGGGGCCCAAAGGAAAACCCAGCGGCATTCCGATTCCTCCGCTGTTCATCATGGCGGAGTCCGCACGACCGCTCCGCTCGCGACAGTGTCACACGCAGCCAAAGAGACGGACCAGACAACAGAGAAGAATGTGCGGCGCTCGCCAGAGCGTCCCAGTGTTCAGACGCTCTAGCGGCGAACTCGATTGCTCGCCGGAGGCGTTACTTGGCGGGCAGATGCTTATTGCCTGCCAGATGAGGCGCTCCGGGGAACGGCCGCCCTCAGACCTGCCAGTAGCGATGAAACTCCTAGCTCAGCCGTAAACACCCCCGGGCTGTTGTGGTTTAACCCAGCCGGCAGCTAAACACCACACAGCCGTTCGCCCACCCTCCCCCCTCCCTCTCTGGGATGGCGGAGAGAAACGGGAAAATGAAGCCTGTGAGTTGAGATAAAGACAGTTTATTAAGACAGAGGACATAATAATAACAATAATAATAACAATAATGATGATGATAGTACTGCTAATAATAACGTGTACAAAACAAGTGATGCACAATGCAATTGCTCACCACCCGCTGACCGATGCCCAGCCTAACCCTGAGCAGTCCGGCCCCCTCCCCCCGGCTAGCCACCCCTATATATTGTTTAGCATGACGTCAGATGGTATGCAATACCCCTTTGGCCAGTTTGGGTCACCTGTCCTGGGTCTGTCCCATCCCAGCTCTTACTGCATCCCCAGCCTGACTGCTGGCAGGACAGAGTGAGAAGCAGAAACGTCCTTGGCTTGGTGTAAGCACTGCTCTGCAACAATTAAAACATCAGCATGTTATCAGCACTCTTCTCATCATAAATCTAAAACATAGCATTCTACCAGCTACTAGGAAGAAAATTAACTCTGTTCTAACTGAAACCAGGGCATCTATCCACCCCTTATTCCATACCATTTATGTCATGCTCAGGTTACACTCTTTTCCATACATTCTAATTAATCACCATTTTCATCTAGGGTATATAGTAATCATGGTAGTGATGGCATACAGTACTGTATAATAATTAACATGATACAATTCAACTCATGGGCTATTCTCACCCAGTATTAAATCCCCTTGAGGTACACACCGGACCTTTCCATTCTTTTGCATCACCCACCAAGTGCATCAAGGTCCCTGAACAAAAGCAATTCCATGAATGGGTTTGCCTTTTCCTGAGGCAGGAGTAGCCCAGACTGTTTTACCCAGCATATTTCTTACATGCACTACAGGAACTTTATCCCCATCTACAGTAAGTAACAGGTTTGATTGAGCAGGTTCAGCTCGGTTGGCAGATCCCCTAGTACTGACTAACCAGGTGGCCTTTGCCAAATGTGTATCCCAATTTTAGAATGTCCCAGCACCAATTGCTTTCAAGGTAGTCTTTAACAGGCCATTGTATCGTTCAACTTTCCTGGAGGCTGGTGCATGATAGGGGATGTGATACACCCACTCAATACCATGTTCTTTAGCCCAAGTGTCTATAAGGTTGTTTCGGAAATGAGTTCCATTGTCTGACTCTATTCTTTCTGGGGTGCCATGTCGCCATAGGACTTGCTTTTCAAGGCCCAGGATTGTGTTCTGGGCGGTGGCATGGGGCACAGGATATGTTTCCAGTCATCCAGTGGTTGCTTCCACCATTGTAAGTACATGGCGCTTGCCATTGCGAGTTTGAGGGAGTGTGATGTAATCAATCTGCCAGGCCTCTCCATATTTATATTTCAGCCATCGTCCTCCATACCAAAGAGGCTTTGACCGTTTGGCTTGCTTGATTGCAGCACATGTTTCACAGTCATGAATAACCTGTGCTATAGCGTCCGTGGTCAGGTCCACCCCTCAATTACGAGCCCATCTGTATGTTGCATCTCTACCTTGATGGCCTGAGGTGTCTTGGGCCCATCGGGCTATAAATAATTCACCTTTATGCTGCCAATCCAGGTCCACCTGAGCTACTTCAATCTTTGCAGCCTGATCCACCTGCTGGTTGTTTTGATGTTCTTCAGTAGCCCGATTCTTGGGCACATGAGCATCTACGTGGCGTACTTTCACAGCCAGGTTCTCTACCCGAGCAGCAATATCTTGCCACAATGCAGCAGCCCAGATGGGTTTGCCCCTGCGCTGCCAGTTGTTTTGCTTCCATTGCTGTAACCATCCCCACAGGGCATTTGCTACCATCCATGAATCGGTGTAGAGATAGAGAACTGGCCATTTTTCTCGTTCAGCAATGTCTAAAGCCATCTGAATGGCCTTCACTTCTGCAAACTGACTCGATTCACCTTCTCCCTCAGCAGCTTCTGCAACTCGTCGCGTAGGGCTCCATACAGCAGCCTTCCATCTCTGATGCTTCCCCACAATACGACAGGACCCATCAGTGAACAGGGCATATTTCTTCTCATTCTCTGGTAACTGGTTGTACAGTGGGGCTTCTTCAGCACGACCCACCTCCTCCTCTGATGATATCCCAAAGTATTTGCCTTCTGGCCAGTCCATGATCACTTCCAATATTCCTGGGCGACTGGGGTTTCCTATTCGAGCCCGCTGAGTAATCAGTGCAACCCACTTGCTCCATGTAGCATCAGTTGCATGATGCGTAGAGGGGACCCTTCCCTTGAACATCCAGCCTAGTACCGGCAATCGGGGTGCTAGGAGGAGCTGCGCTTCAGTACCGACCACTTCCGAAGCAGATCAAACTCCTTCATATGCTGCCAATATCTCCTTTTCAGTTGGAGTGTAGCGGGCCTCAGATCCTCTGTATCCCCGACTCCAAAACCCCAGGGGTCAACCTCGAGTTTCCCCAGGTTCTTTCTGCCAGAGGCTCCAGGTGGGGCCGTTCTCCCCGGCTGCAGTGTAGAGCACATTCTTTACATCTGGTCCTGTTCGAACTGGCCCAAGGGCTACTGCGTGGACTATTTCCTGCTTGATTTGTTCAAAGGCTTGTCGTTGTTCAGGGCCCCATTCAAACTCATTCTTCTTACGGGTTACTTGGTAGAGCGGGTTTACAATCAGACTGTAATTTGGGATGTGCATTCTCCAAAACCCCACAACACCTAGGAAAGTCTGTGTTTCTTTTTTGTTAGTTGGTGGAGACATAGCTGTTATTTTATTGATCACATCCATTGGGATTTGACGACATCCATCTTGACATTTTATTACTAAAAATTGGATCTCCCGTGCAGGTCCTTTGACTTTGTTTTATGGCAAAACCGGCTTTCAGAAGGATTTGGACTGTTTTCTTCCCTTTCTCGAAAACTTCCTCTGCTGTGTCACCATGCCACACAATAATGTCATCGATGTACTGCAAGTGTTCAGGAGCTTCCCCCTGCTCTAGCGCAGACTGGATCAGCCTATGGCAAATGGTAGGGCTGTGTTTCCACCCCTGGGGCAGCCTATTCCAAGTATATTGGACTCCCCTCCAAGTGAAAGCAAATTGTGGCCTGCACTCTGCTGCTAGAGGGATGGAGAAAAATGCATTAGCGATATCAATTGTGGTGTACCACTTGGCTGCCTTCGTTTCAAGTTCGTACTGAAGTTCCAGCATGTCCGGCACTGCAGCACTCAGTGGTGGCGTGAATTCGTTCAGGCCACGATAGTCCACTGTTAGTCTCCACTCGCCATTAGACTTTCTCACTGGCCATATGGGACTATTGAAAGGTGAATGAGTCTTGCTGATCACTCCTTGGCTCTCCAATTGACGAATTAGCTTATGGATGGGAATCAGGGAGTCTCGGTTAGTGCGATATTGCCGCCGGTGCACAGTTGTGGTAGCGATTGGCACTTGCTGTTTTTCGATCCTCAGCAACCCCACAACAGAAGGGTCCTCTGAGAGACCAGGCAAGGTAGATAATTGTTTAATGCCCTCTGTCTCTAAGGCAGCTCTACCAAAAGCCCACCGGAACCCTTTTGGGTCCTTGCAATATCCTCTTCTAAGATAGTCTATGCCAAGGATACTAGGAGCATCTGGGCCAGTCACAATGCGGTGCTTTTCCCACTCATTCCCAGTCAGACTCACTTCAGCCTCCAATACAGTCAACTGCTGAGATCCCCCTGTCACTCCACAAATACAGATGGGCTCTGGCCCTTTATAGCTCGATGGCATTACAGTACATTGTGCACCGGTGTCTACTAAAGCCTTATACTTCTGTGCGTCTGACGTGCCAGGCCATCGAATCCACACAGTCCAGTAAACTCGATTGTCCCTTTCCTCCCCCTGGCTGGAGGCAGGGCCCCCCTAATCCTGGTCAGAATCTTCTTCGTTTCTGTGTTTGAAGGACTGTCTGCTGGAAGTTGGAGCAGCAAACTTTTCAGAGAATCCCTTTTTCCCAATTGTTTTCTTTTGCAACTCACATACCCGTGCCTCTAGGGTCGCAGTAGATTTTCCATCCCATTTTCTCATGTCCTCTCCATGGTCTCGTAAGTAAAACCACAGGGTGGCACGGGGTGAGTACCCACCATATCGTCTTCCTTGTGTGGGTGAACGCCTACCCCTGATAGCTGAGACACTGCTTTGTACAGGTACGGAGGAGAATAATCTCTCTTCAAGTTGGTGAACCTTTTCAGAAAGTTTCTCCTCAGTGTTCTCTTTTGGTCAGTGGACACTGGTTGGTTCAGGTGGGGAGGAAGATAGATTCTCTTTAAGTTGATGGAACTCTTCTCCACAGCTGAGACGCAGGCCTGTAAGGAAGAGGAGAGACTTTCTTCGTACTGCCAGAGTTGTTTAGCCACTTCATCCACTGTGGGTTCCTCATCCTCTTTCCAGGCCATTATTGCCAAAGAGCTGGCATATGATGATGGTGGACTCTGTACAAACTTCAGCCACATGGGTCGTGTACACCCGACTTCATCTGGATCTTTGGATGTTTGTCTGAGGTCTGGATCCACATAAATCACCTCCCGTGCGGCTAATTCCATCAGGTACTGGATTCCCTTCTCCATGGTGGTCCATTTGCCTGGTAGACATACAAGTTCTTCCTTGAAGGGATATCTTTCCCTCAGAGCTGAGAGGAGACGCTTCCAGAGGCTGTGAGATTGTGCTCCATCTGCAATTGCTTTGTCAATGCCTGCGTCTCTAGCAAGGGATCCCAGCCACCTGGCTTCCCTGCCGTCTAATTCCACACAATTGGCTCCAGAGTCCCAGCACCGGAGCAGCCAGGTGACAAGCTGCTCACCTATACAACGACCAAAATCTTTTCGCACATCTTGTAGCTCACACTTGTATAGGTTTCGGGTAGTTACTGTTGATTTTTCAGCATCCTCATCTTCCTCCTCCTGAATCTTTGAT